GGGGAAACTGTGGCCTTTTTTTCCAGAGCGCTGTTATTTCTCCACGGATTCAGTGTTGGGGAAGGGGAAACTGTGGTTTTTCTTTTCCAGAGCGCTGGTATTTCTTCACGGATTCAGTGTTTGGGAGGGGGAAACTGTGGCCTTTTTTTCCAGAGCGCTGTTATTTCTTCACGGATTCAGTGTTTGGGAGGGGGAAACTGTGGTTTTTCTTTTCCAGAGCGCTGGTATTTCTTCATCGATTCAGTGTTTGGGAGGGGGAATCTGTGGCCTTTTTTTCCAGAGTGCTGGTATTTCTTCACGGATTCAGTGTTTGGGAGGGGGAAACTGTGGCCTTTTTTTTCCAGAGCGGTGGTGTGGGAATGTGGTCGTTGATCAGCGTGTACGAAGCCTGGTAGTTTAGTTTAGTTGTTGTACAGTCCCAGGCTTAGGAAGCAGCAGCAACTGATTGCGAGTGACTTACCGCAGGGGCCCCTTTTTGGGCCAATGCTCAAACGGGAAAACGACCGGTTTTTACGCTGGTAGCGGAGCCAGTGCCTGAATCCAGGCCAGCGCTCTTTAGTTGCTTAGTTCGCCCGCTCTGAATCCCCAGCTGCCATGGCGGCCAGGAGGGAGCTATCGGCGTAGGCTCCAGCGTCGGCGGAGTCATGTCTCGCCAGCCAAGAGAGAGCATGACTTCCTACATTGGAAGAAGGAAGAGATGGTTTCGCAAGCGCAAGGAGCGTTATAGCCTTGATACCATTCGCGCTGATCTACTCTTAGACCGCTGCGGATTAGATCGCAAAGAACGACTGATGATTTTCATTGCTGTTGGTGACAAGCCATCTTTTGAGGCTATCGAGAAGGCACTCATCACCCAGCATGGGAAGCTTCACTTTTTGGATTGCAAAGGAGCTCCCAAGACCCCAGTTGTTCCCAGGGGAAGCCCGTATACAAGGGAAAAGGCAGAGGAAAGGAGGGCTTTCACTTTCAGCAGAGCACGCGTACCTGGCCGATCCAGAAGAAGAACTTTTCGAAATGTACAATGGAGAAGAATCCGTTTGGGATCCTGGGTACGAAGAAGAGCTGGTTCAAGCTGATGACAATGTCACAGCGTTCTTGGCGGGATCGCTTGAAGACGCGACAGCTGAGAACCTCGAGTTGGATGTTATGGAGGCATTTTTATGTTCGCCAGAGTTTGATCTGGAAGACAAGGACAATCTTGCCTTCATGGCCCAAGCTTGCCAAGCCGAAGTGGTCGCTTACTTTGCTCGCTCAACGGCGAAGGGAAAAGGAAAGCCGATGGGTAAGCATGCCCACGGCTACAAGCCAAGGCCCAGCGGTCCTTCGATAAAAGACCGAAAGAACAAACTCAGAGAAGTCAAGAGCCGTAGCACCTGCAAAGTGTGCGGCAAGAAAGGACAGTGGGCAGGCGACCGCGAATGCCAAGGTAAGCCGACAGGCCAATCCAGCGGTACCAAGGCTGCGCACATCTCCGCGATCTCTGTTAGAAACGCAACTGTTCACACCTCGTTCTTTCGCGTAGGTTCTGACATCGAGAGTTTTGACGATTTTGAAAGAACGTCTCAGTAGGAAGCTTTTGTGGTTATGGATGATGACACAAACCACCCAGAAGCTTACCCGGGATTCTTTAGCCCGCAAGACTTTGCAGAGGAGGACGAAGACGAAGAGCTCGTCGAAGACGGCTCTTTGGAGTTCCTCGAACCACCTCCTGAAGGATCGGACACCTTTTTCGGGTTCGGACTTCGCAGAGGAAGGACTTTCGGGGACGTGGTACGGGAGTATTCCGACTACCTTATCTGGGGCATCAAAGAGACCACGACAAGTCCGATGCTCAGAGAGTTTTGGTGCATTGTAACAAGCACTATGTCTTCCCGCAAGGTGTGGCGCAGAAAAGAGAATTTTCTCTTTCTCAACATGAAGCTCCAAGTCCAAGAGCAAGCTCTCTAACTTGAGGCCGAGTCCCGATGGACTGTGCCCAGATGGATGCGATCATGCGACCTGCGAGCACAGGTGCACAAACAACAGAGGGTCAACAAGGGCTGTCCACAAGGATTTGGTGCTTCCTCATCGGAGAGCCGAGAGTCGAGCAGCTTGAAGCCGTGGACCTTTATGGCCACGAAGGCATTTTCGCAATGCTGGACGAAGGATGTAATTCCTCGTGCCATAGCCGCAGTTGGAGATTCAACGCGGCAATCAATCTGCGGAACGGTCCGAAGTTAGTTGAGTCCGAAGGACCTTCCTCAGACGGCTTGTGCCCATGGCACGTATTGCGCCAGTTAACTGTGCACGAGCAATCTAGGACCTCGCAGTCGATGTCGTGCAGCTCTTTGCGGACCCTCTTGAGGAGGAACCTCAGCATGTACCCTCGATGCTTTCCTCCCTTACAAAAGGTGAGGATCACAAGCTTGTCTCCGTCCTTTGCGGATCGGAATGCTTTGTGAATGGTCCTTGCCATCCTTTCCCAGAGGTTGCGCCACTCTCTGGTTCCCAAAGTAAACTCAAGGTTCTTCGGGTACGTGCCTAAGTGTCCTTTTAGGTCGCGCGCATCTCCCGGATTTGGGAGTGGCCTGGAATCGACGCAAACAAGGTATTGTCGTGCTTAACTTCATTGCAAATAGGAGGATAATCAATAATTCTTTCGCTGTGATTGCCTTATCATCTGCAAATCCGCAAGGTTTAGCCCAATTGTGGATCCCTACGGATTCCGCGCTCTTCAAAAGATTTGCGCCCACCCTGGTAGACTCATCCCCTTTTTCCAGGGTGAAGAGGCAGGCCCGCGCTCATGCACACTATCCTACTGACTTTCGTCGTGTAGTCTACCGTGTAAGCGCGTAGGGCAGACAAGAACGATGCCCTGACAGGATCTCAGCCGGACATAAAGGTCAAGCACAAGAGCCGACTGGTTACCAGAGGCGACCTCGAAAGCGGCGATATCAGATCGGATTGTCCGACTGCAGATATAGAAGCGCAAAACTTGGTTTTCAGTTTTGCTTCTTCTAGAAAAGTATTGATCGGTAGCGCCGACATTACTAATGCTTACTTTCAGGGACAGGAGCTCGACAGACTCCTTATCCTAAAGCAACCACGAAGTGGACTTCCTGGTGAGCCACCTGACAGGCGTTTTCTGGCCAGAGTACCCGTTTATGCGACTCATGATGGGGGACGTAAGTTTTGGAAACGTCTCAAGACCAGTGCGACAAAGAAAAGGCTCAGAGAGAACTCGATTCTCAAAGCACTGTATGCGTTGCACAACAAAAAGGGACGTTTAATCGCCCTATTATGCACGCTTGTGGACGACCTGCTATGGGCGGCCGAGGCACAAGCAGAGCCTATCACTGAGCAGTTGCTCAGTGAGTTTTCCTGCGGCAAAGTAAGTTTAGATACTGCGGGAAAGAAATCAGTCAGGCGGATGATTTCTCTATCACCGTTACATGCAAGGACGCGACTTTGAAGGTAAAGCGTATCTGCATCGCGCCCAAGTGCAAAGTTGGGGAACATCTTACTAAGAAAGACAAGACTCAGCTTACCAGTGTTGCAGGAATTCTTTCCTGGGTGTCGTGACAATGCAGACCAGACCTTGCATTTCGAGTGAGTCGAATGCAGTCCGCCAGCAGCGGGGGTACAGTTGCTGACCTCCGGGAAGCAAACAAAGCCGTCGACCATGCTTTTTTCCGAAGCGCTGGTATTTCTTCACGGATTTCATGTTTGGGAAACAAAAATTGTGATTTGGTCCAGTATTTCTTTTCGGGAAAGTGTGGCATTTTTCCCAGAGTGTTGGTGTTTTTTCACGGATTCAGTGTTTGGGAGAAGTAAACCGTAACCTTTTTTTCCAGAGCGCTGTTTTTTTTCCACGGATTCGGGCATTGAGAGCGGGAAACTGCGGCTTTTTTCCAGAGCGCTGGTAGCACGGATTCAGTGTTTGGGGGGGGAAATTGAAACCTGTTTTCCAAAGCGGTGGTATTTCTTCACGGATTCAGTGTTTAGGAGGGGGAAACTGTGGTCTTTTTTCCCAGAGCGCTGGTATTTCTTCAAAGATTCAATGTTTGGGAGGGGGAAACTGTGGCCTTTTTTTAGAGCGCTGGTATTTCTTCACGGATTCCGTGTTTGAAAAGGAAACTATGGCCTTTTGTCCAGAGCGCTGGTATTTCTTCACGGATTCAGCGTTTGGGAGAGGGCTTTTGTTTTGCCTTTTTCCAGAGCGCTGGTATTTCTTCACGGATTCCGTGTTTGAAAAGGAAACTATGGCCTTTTGTCTAGAGCGCTGGTATTTCTTCACGGATTCAAGGTATTTCTTCAGATTCAATGTGTGAGGGGAAACTGTGGCCCTTTTTCCAGATCGCAGGTATTTTTTCACGGATTCACCGTTTGGGAGGTGAAATTGTAGTTTGTTTTTTCCAGAGTGCTGGTATTTCTTCACGGATTCAGTGTTGGGGAGGGGGAAACTGTGGTCTTTTTTCCAGAGCGCTGGTATTTCTTCACGGATTCAGTGTTTGGGAGGGGAAACTGTGGCCTTTTTTTAGAGCTTTGGTATTTCTTCACGGATTCAGTGTTGCCCCAGACCTCTGATGCCACTGCACCTTTGTAGGATTTTGGCGAACACGTCGTTAGCATAGCACTTGCTTTGGGCCTGCTCTCAGAGTTTACAGCTCCTGTCGTTTTTCAGTTTGCTGTAGCTTCGGGGTTTTGGACCAGCAGTTGTTACATTTAACGTGTGTTTTGCCCCCCAAGCCCTTTTACGTGTTGGTGCAATATGTTCCACACGAGCGATTCTTGTTTTGATTTTGAGTTGGGGTTCCCTGGCAACAAGATCCGTGGGTGCACTCGTAGTGAATTGGTCTCGATTTGCGCGATAAGGCCAAAAGTTGCAGTGAGAAGAAACCGTATTCCTGAAGCTGTTGGCATGTGAAGATTACCCGCGCTGCCACGCCACCTAGGGCATCTTAGGGCTGCCCCGTCGCAGGCTCCCGGAGCAGCGGGTGAACCACTCGCAGAGCACCTCGACCATATAAGACGAGCCGATCGCAGAGTCAGCAGAGTGCTGGTTACTAGCCACTCGCCATGCCTCAGGTCGGATCGAAAGTTTCGCTCAACGAGAGATCAGCAACTGGGCGCTGGGAGACGACAAGCGGCTCAGCCGAAACTGGCTTCTCTGCTGTGCTTTGTCTTGCCAGTTTTGGGCAGAGTGGGGTTTTGCGGAGGGTTTCGTGGACCGCGCTTGGCCCGAGGCTCTTGAGAAAGGATCCTTTCTGCATGCGGCCGATGCAGCAGCCCAGCAACTCCGGTGTCAAGTACGACATCATCACCAACGAGCGTAGCAAGTTCTGGTACTAGCGCACATTTGTACATAGCACGCAGCCCATGAGACAAGATGTCGGCGTGGCACATCTGACATGTGCGATTCCGAAGGAATCGTCCAAAAGCGGGCGTCGTGAGAGCCTTTGGTTCCAGTTTTCAGTATTGGCACGGCCGACCGTCAGTGACATTGGACCTGTGAAGTACGGCTGCAAGTCTTACACACGTGGCGCTGCTGATCCCGAAATGTAAGGCAAGAGACCCGTCAAGCTATTGGAAGTATTATCCTTTGTGACGAGCCATCCTGGAAGCTTCTTGGATTTCACTTCTACAGATCGTCTGCATGTCGCCTCGCATTCGTCGTTGCTCGGTATCTTCCCTCTCTTTTCCGCAGACCTGAGGAGGTTTGAAGGGCCATCATCCATCCTTGTTCTTACAAATGCAGCTCCGCTTCACATATCTTTTCCCACACTATTGTGGTCGTCTCGTCGATATTTTTTGGCTTTTGGGCTCGCAGCGGCGGGGAACTCAACGAAGGGCCCGAACGCCGCAAGAGAGACCCTTGGCTGAACCGGCTGAACTTCCAGGGGGACGGGGTGATTTGTGTTTGATTCGAAGAGACGCCTGGCGAGGAACCGAACCGACCCCTTCCTTGTCGCTCGTGCCCCAGTGCTTTCAGCGGAGCGGAGAGGTTTGCTGAGATGTGCTGAGCACTGAGCTCTCTGGGCCCAGGCAACGACTGGCTTCTCCCGCCCGCGGAACAGCAGCCCACGTTCTCAGACTCCGCAAACAGCCCCGAGAGGTCTACACAGTGTCTACAGCCCCACCCTGACAGACAGTTTGAGTAGCAGACCCGCAGATTCGATCTCCCCATTACATGGTCCTTTGCAATGCGCATGCGATATGGCAAGATCCTGGCCGTTGCAATCGCATCTCGGCTGCGCCATCTGCTCTTCGAGAGATGCAAAGCTTTGATAGCCCCGCAGCAGGTTGCAGCCGTCTCCAGTGAGGCTTCTCGCGGCCTCTACAGTCGGCCCCGGCAATCCCCTTTCCTTTACGAGCAGGAGCATGGGGAGCACGGCGGCGGGATCGAGGACTTCCTGGCCAGAATCCTGGAACCGCGCGGCTGTGGATCTCGCGCTTTCAGTTAACTTCGAGGCAGAGGACGTCGCGCGGCCCTGGCCTTTGTGATCCTGTGGAAGTGACTGACAAGCCCTGGTCTCAGATGCGCCTTGCGAGGCTGCAGGTGTCACTTCTCCAGTCCTCTCTGACAGTGGTCCAAGTCTCGGATCTCTTCCTCCGAAATTGTGGTGTTGCCTTCATCCGCCTCGCCCCAGGCGCGGACGGAGCGAACGCAGGAACAGGAGCAAGCACTCTTCGCCACCCCTGCACCTCGGCCTTGCTGACACGGCCACCGATCACCGAGTCGGGAACTGCTCTGAAGGTTTCGCGGCTACAGCCGAGCTGGCTTTGGGAGGTGGAGGGCCTTTCCAACTATGGCCGCGCCTCCCTCGGCTCGCTGAGCAGAGCTTTTCGCAGAGCGCAGCAGAGAGCGGCCCGCGGAGGAGCCGCGAAGGCCACCATGAGCAGGCGGGCTCTCCGCCACAGGGCCGGGCGGCCGGCGGGGGGGTCGTTTCTGACTTGTGCTTTCCTGCGCAGAGGCATCTCAGCCTTGTCTTGCAGCTGACGCTGCCCACAGACAGGACGGCCGTCAGCACGCTCCTTAGACCGCCTCCAGATTTCGGGTGCCCACGCGTAAGTTTTGCCGGCTTGTGGCACATGGAAGACGGGATAAGGGCGATACCACACAGCAACCAACCGAAGCAAAACCACACAGCAAGCGCTGTCAACTGTAAACGGGATAGGGGCAATGCCACACAGCAACAGCTAGAAGTAAAACCACACAGCAAGCGCTGTAAACAGGATAGGGGCAATGCCACACAACTACCGCTGCAAACAGCATAGGGGCCAAGCCACACAGTGTTCCCCCCAATTGGGTCACCCTGTTTGATGGGTTATTGGAACTCAAAAATCGCAGCCCTTGACATTTCTTGCTTTCAGGGATAGCAAGGCGAAATAAGGAAAAATGAGAGCGCGCAAGAAAGAGCAAGACACAGCAAAACAAAGCAAGGCAGACCAAGAAAGAGAGAAACAAAGAGAGAAATGAAGAGAGAAAGTCAGAAAGATAAAGAGGGAGAGGGAGACACTCCCCTGCTTGCAACCCTGGCGAAAGAAAGATGTTGAAAGTTATTGTCAAAACCAGGCAACGTATGTTTGCAGGAATAGAAAACTCTCCTCTCCCGTGCCCGAGGCGGCCTACCAGCGCTGGTGGTATTCATGGTCGCAGCACTGGTGATGGTCCTGCCGCTCGGAAGAAAACGCACCCAAGTCTCTACAAGAGCAGGAAGAGGAGCAGGAAGAGGAGCAGGAAGAAGCAGTAACTTCGTAAGCGTGGGGTAGTCGTGGCAAGAAGGTGTCGCACCAGCTCCGCAAGACTACAGATCTCGAAATGGTGTGTTGTTCGGACGGCGGCAGAGCGCCAGGTTTGTTTCGCAGATGATCGGCCTCTCGCTTGCAGAGATCCTTGCAGTTTTCCCTGCGTCCTATCCCTCCTGTGCAAGCGAAAACAGACATGCCGAACTGGGGTCCAAGGAGTCTTCTTCGAAGAGAGGAGCAAGGACATCACACGTCACCGAAGTTCATACCCCTTTTAGCCGCCAGAGCCGCATCGGCTGTGTGCCGAGGAGGATTTTCGATACTTCCCCGGCTCTGAAGGCGGGTCGCAGATGAAGGGCAGTGCAAAACTCCGGATCTTGGGTGACCGAAGGTCCAAAGCCACGCTGGCCCGCGGACTTCGCAGGCGAGGGAATGAGAGAAGGAGCGAAGCTCACACCTGTGCGATCGCCTTGGCCGCAGGCGACGGTCAGGACCGTTGCGCTCATTGCACAAAAGCCGACCGAAGAGCTTCCCTCGGAGCGCGGTCTCTTGTCAGGAGCGGTCGACGATCGGGGGGTGGAGTTTGCCACCGATGACCTTGCCGAACACGCCCGTGGCCAACATGGAGGAACAGCGACTTTCGCATCGAGTGGCATCCGACATGCGCAGCACGCGCGCGCGCGCGCGCGTTTGCAGGGGGCGTCTAGTGCCGTGTCCACCTTGCCGTTGCTGGACCGCTGGCCGGGACCCTATCCGCTAAGTGCGCCAAGTGACGCCGAGGCGGTTCTAGCTTTGTGTTCAGGTCTGAACCGGTGCGATCCGGCAGCCTCACCGGGACGCTGCCCGAGGCGCGTGCCGTGGTGGGCACCGGGACAACCGGGACATTTGCCGTGACTGCCAAGGCCTCGGATCGGGCCGCGTTGATCCCACGGCTCATTCAGCCGTCCGCAGAGGCGGTATTTGGAGAGCCGCATAATCGTCCCAAGACATCCTTTTTTGTGAAACTTGCGCACTGTGCCGCAAGAATGATCACAGGAGCTCTTTGCGTTTTCCTGATTCTTGCAAGGCCCAATTCCATGTGCCCGCAGAAGGCCTTAGCTCGCTGCGGCGAGGTGGCCTGACGGCACCGCAGATCTCGCGCAAAGAAGGGGTGCAGACCTGAGAGGCGAGAGCCCGGTGGGGATCTTCGGCCCGGGCGGCCACACGCTGCTCTTCGCGCGCTTCAGCCAGGCAAAGGGGGCCGAGACAGACTCTTCGACTCGCTGTGAGGGGTCCGGTGCCGTCAGGACAGCAAGGAGCGGCAGTGGTTGGAGCTGCGATCTCCCCAGAGCTGTCAAGACCAAAGCCCTGCTCTTTTCCATCTTTTGTAGCTCGAGCCTAACTGCTCTATCGCTACAGCTGAATCTCAGGTCGACCACGGCGAACACGCAGTTTCCACACTGCCGCGCCGCGGACTGATCGCTGCGTGGTCGCTGCCGTCTTGCAATCTGTGGCGGTCGCTTCTCTGGCTGAACGCAGGTGGGACCTCTTCGTCAAGACGCAGCCGGAGTAGACGTCCGAGGGCCAGCGGGCGCCGCTCGGTCGCCCTGAATTGCTCTCCAGGGCTTTGGGAGGTTGAGAAGAGGGTCGTGGGCAGCATGAGACGCAGCATCAGCAGGAGCGCTACGCGCTCCTGCAGCGCTTCGGGTCACAGTGGCAGCTCCGGCGGGGCGAAGGCAGGGGAGCGGCAGTGCGCCAGAGGAGCATGGAAGCCTAGAGCGGTTCACGCGCACATGCGATGCCACGAGGCCAGGTGCTCCTGAGCATTGGCTCCAACGTGGGAGGCGGGACGCTGGGACCGGAAGCCTCGGAGATCTCTCTCTCTCTCTCTCTCTCTGTCTCTCTCTCTCTCTCTGTCTCTCTCTCTCTCTCTCTCTCTCTCTCTCTCAGGCACGTTTGTCACGTCCTGGGCAGGGCCCGGCCTCACAGCAGCGACCGACGGCCAGCTGACGGCCACGGCGGGATGCACGGGAGTGAGCCGCCTTGGCCGGGCAGCGGATTTTGACAGTGAGAGGCGTGGCCGGAGCACTCTGCGGGCGGACTGGTCGTGAAGGCAGCGGCGCGAAGAGTGCACGCGCACGTGCCTGAAGACTGAAGAGTGCCGGATGGCCAAGGTGAGCCCCGGGAGGGATCCCTTGCTGGCGCTGCTCTGCCTCCTGGCCCGACGCCCTACGGTACGGAGACATACAGAGACGGCAGCATCTTCCAGGAGAGGGCTGCAGCTGGGCCTTGCGGGGCTGAGGCGGTGCTGCTTCTGTCGCCGGAGCTTTCGGGCCTGGGCCACTGAGAGCAGCGTCGGAGCGCCAAAAAACTCCTCGGCTTCTTCAGCAACTGGGCCTCGGGCCTGTTCCGGCAGTTCTTTACCAACAGTCAGACAGGTGTGACGGCACGAACGAAAGAGTTTCATCGGGAGTCGCTCCAATCAGATCCAAGGGGGTTCGAGTCGGCTTTCTGAATCAGATCGCTGGGCTCGCGCAGAGGGCTGAAGCAGATCAGGGCGGGAACAGGATCATTGACTTGAATGTTTAGGCTTTGGAATGTCTTGGCCGAATTTGTGGGGCTGAGTATGGAGCTTGCGTTGGGCATTAAGTCAGGGCCGTCCAACACCACTTGTTTTGGCCATGTGTAACCAGCTATGCCAGAAGAAGACCGACACAAACAGTTGGTTAGTTATGTTGCCAATGCCAGCTGATCGAGGACCTTGTTCAGATCACAAAAGAATCCATTGTGACAACTGAAGCGACTAGCCTATATATAGCAATCGAGCTGCTAACATACATGGAGAACTGAATGGAACACGTTGCGTTAGATGTTTGTTGCTAGACATGCAACAATGTAACGTTCTTGCGATTCTATGTACACAGCATAAGCACAACATGCTATTCAAGCATTGCACAGCTTTAAAAGTCGAGCAGGGTTGCATGGAACAGCGGCAGGTCTAGGTGTGGTTGCCATAAGTTGCCGTAGAATCGCCGATGTTGCCATCATCCTTCACGCGGCTGCGTGAGGACCTTTCCAAACTCTCCGTAATCACTGGAAAGCCTGAACCAACCCATACCGTCAATCCGATTTCAACAACTTTGAGCTCTCCCGAAGGAGAAACCCAGTGCCACGAGTGGCCAAGGACGCGTGATCTCTAAATATATCATTCTGTCAGAATTGATTCAAAAGCACTCCGCTGCCTGGAATACTTAGGACCACAAATGGCTGCGGGGGTCTCAGCTTTCCATGGTCGTCCAGGGTCAAGGGCTGGCTCAAGTCGGTTCAGGTGCGGGGGGCCCCGGAGAGATTTGCTCTCGCGGTCCTGGGCTGCACCGGCGTGGGCAAGTCCGCCCTGGCCGGCAGATTCTTGAGGCATCGCCCGCACCCACAAAAGACTAAAGAGTGCTCGGCACCTCAAGCGTCCTTGGTGCCAGGGATGAGGTGCTCCTCGAGCACGATCCCACCATCGAGGTGCTGTGTGCTTGTACTCTCATTGGCTCCGTGTTTGCCAAAAGCTCGTGCCAAGTCAACACGGGTAGACACAGCCAAGATTGGCATACAATGAAACATTCAGTAGAAGCGTCAACACAAGCTCAGCTGCACATAAAGACAGTCCCAATCGAAGCCGCCCTTGCAGAGATGTGCTTGAAAGCGCGGTGCTCCTCATTTTCACGGGAATCTCGGTCCGCTGCATGCTTCTCATGTATGATGAATCGCAGAAGACTCAGAAGATGCGCTTGACGCATCTTCCAGTGTTCCCCGCTTGTCCAGGAATCATGGAGCAGACATAGTTATTGCAGACACATTCAGAGCCTACATCGCCCCATGCGAGACCTCTCTCATGCTAGGAGTGGACCTAATGAAACGCGCTGTCAAGCTCAAGCTGTGTGACAGCAGCATCCAGACCCCATTCCACAAGTCTTCGTGCACGTAGAGTATGAGGACGGCCAGGCCGCAGGCTTGCGAAGCAGCAAGGCGATGAGCCCATTATAGCCTAGCAGAAACTCTGCAGCCTCCTTGCGTTTGCCAGGCCGAGTGGGAGTGAACAACTTTCCACGCATTTTTTGCATGCGCATGCGTGCGGAATCAGGGATTAGGGGAATCGCAGTCGAATGCAGACACGTCGCCGCGGCCGACCAATCCGCACCAGTTTCAAGTTCAAGCACCTGAAGGGAAGCAAGAGCCGGATGGGGAGATGGCTCAGTGACAGGTACTTGACAAACGGTGTGGTGAGAACAGTTGTAGCAGCAGCATCCCCCGCTTCTAGTAACCGAAGGCGACTTGACAGCCTGTGGGAGCCGCACAGGACCTTCACAGAAAGGAGCTCGTCCTGAAGGGTGCGCCGGTGTGTCGGCGTCCAAGAGATGGCACAGAACCGGACTTCACAGGCATGCTCCGTGCCACATATCCTGCGAGGTCTTGAAATCGTAGATACGGCGGGACAGGAAACCTACACCTCCCTGCGGAGGCGCATCTTGACTTCATGGGGTTTGGATGGTTCTGACATGTGCTGCGTCCAGGAGCTGGCTCCAGAACGGCAAGGGGCGCGCCGCCCCGGTTTGTCGGTCTTGTTCCGCGAGACCAGTGCGGAGAGGTTCCTCTTCGTCTTCTCCTTGGCGGATCGGCAAACGCTGGACGGGCGCGGGCCCTGGCCCTGGCCCGGAGCGGGAGCCTTTCATGTCTTTTTTGCCGAGGCTTTCAGCCTTCCGCGAGGAGATCCGAAGCGTGTACCCCCAGGAGGCGCCTCCGAGCGCCAGCGCCTTGAAACGGCCCCGGTAGCCGGGGGCCGGTCTTGGGTCTTGTCTTGGGGCCGAGGTGATCGCCGCCAACATGGCGGACCTGCAGAGGGCCCTGGCTCGCTTCGCGTTCTGGGGGGGACCGTGGCGGCCGCCTGGGAAGTGGTAGCGGGAGAGCGCCAGGTGGGACGTGTCGGAGGAAGACCTGAAGAAACTGCAAGCCAACTGGCCCAACTGTGTACAGGTGGGTGGGTTAGTGCTCGAAGATGCTCGAACTTCAGGGACGCTTTTTCCGAGTCTCTGCAGGTGCTCCAGACTTCGGCGGTGACCGGCCAGAACGTCCATGAGGCCTTCGAGCAACTCTCGTCGGCTGTCCAGGACGCTCTTTTTCGGCACTCCTGGCAAGAATGGATTGCGATCGCGAGGAGCGGGAGCATCGGCTACGTAGGGCTCAAAGAGAGGCCCGTCGCGCATGCACGCATGCTTCTTTGGGACAGCGTCCTTGCCCTTCAGAAGTCACTGGCGGAATCGCCTAACCTCTCGCCCGCCCATGCTGGTGAAGGCCGCGCTGCAGCTTTCCTCGAATCAGGAGTCGACGCAGAACTGTACTCGCCTCAGCTCAAGGGTTGGGAGCGGGGGCGGCACCTTGGCCATGACTCAGGCGCACGGTGCCGGCTGGCGCAATGCTTCGCAAGCTGCACGGTGCAGTAGAGACAAAAGGGCCACGGCCAAACTGTCAAGCCTCCCGTGCTCTGTGAAGCTGCGGCTGCGTTGGAGGGCAGACAAGCTCTCAAATCTCTGATGGCTCCTACAGTCGTACATCGAATGTGAAGCAGCTTGACATTCCTCCAGCGAAGGCTCCTGCAGTTGCTCAGTTTATGTCTTTATCAGGGTCCTTGCCTCTTCGATACCACATGTAGTATGCTGATCTGCTGACAGCATCTCCCTTGTAGCAATGTCGGCTCCACAGGCCGCAGCGCGTGATTGCACCTGCGTCGATTGCTGCTGCTAGTGCTGCTAGTGTGGCCACTAGTGTGTGGAAGTTTCAACAAGGTTGATCAAGCTCGCATGGATGCAGGCGCACAGTGCTCCAGCGGCGGAGCTACAAAGGCCCAATAATTTTATTGGATATTTGCTGCTGCGTGGGAGTGCGTGGGAGTACAAAAACCTAGTCAATTGGAAGCTTGACTAAGTCTTCCCACGCGATTCAAGAATCCTTGGAGCGAGAGATCATAGCTACTTTATCCGAGCATCGATAAGTTCTTGAAAAAGCAGGGCCCCCCCCCTCAGAATAAGGATCGCGGGAGCCATTAATGGAACATCTTTGTTGGCTCAAACTCGGCTCCTTGCGCTCGATTAAAATTAATAGCAATGTACAGAATTTCTATTACGAAACCATTTATCGGCGTGTAGCTCCGGGTGCAGAAAGAGAGATTGGGGAGAAGCTGCAGATCCTGATTCTGTTACGATCCCAAAAGAAATTCCTGTAAACATGACCCCTTTTCCCCGTACGAAATCCTGCTGTAATTGCAGCGATGATTGGAGAATGTCAGACTGTTCCTTGCTGAGAGTCATCGAGTTGCAACGGCAGCGTCGGGTAGTTCAAAAACCAGAACTTGTGGACAAAGGTTCGTGCGCGTTTCAATGTAGCTGGGTTATAAGAGCAGTTTAGGAATGGGGCAATCCTGTGATGAAGGTATCGGTGCTGGCATTGAGCTTTTATCAAGAGCTGATGTGATGTGTGTTTTTAAGTGGTTCCGGTGCTTTCGTTCTAACAAAAAGGCGCACGGCACTTTGACATGAGGGGGCTACTTCTGACTGGCCCAAAACCGCCCAGAGGCCGGAGAGCCTGATTTTTTGTGCAGGGACCCGGGTTCTGTCGTGGGAGGCAGATGGCTACTGCTGCAGCCCAGCAAGGCCGAGCCCGTGGAGTTTGCATACCTAGACTTACACTTCTTCTGTGAGACAGAGAAGGCTATGGGAGCGGGTTCCGGCTGAAAGGGGCATGGGCGGAGGTGCACGTGCCGCGGCGGACCGAGCACGGACAGGGTTCTTCGAAGTCCAGGCTGGGCTCTGCTTCGCCGCAGTCGTTTTGCAAGAACGCGAACAATGAACCTGAAGCTTTGCAGGCCTACATCTCGGAAAACCCGACCAGCCTGAAGGTGGTGTGTGTGTGTGTGTGTGAGTTGAAGATGTTGTGAAGAGGAGTGAAGGAGGAAGTGTTCGTGAATGCTCGGATTGCAGATCCTGTGCTTCTGCTCGGGCTTGGCACTGATCGCTTTCAGCCTCCTTGCCGCGGGCCCGGTGAAGCGGGGGCAAGATCAAGCGTTGGTTCAACGGGTGCAGGTGGCAAACGCGCTGCAAGGGCTTTGCAGTTTAACCATCACTGCCATCGGGTTCTGCATTCTGCCACAGCTCAAGGATGCAGCTCCAGAGTGGTCAGGGATTCTGTCATAGCTTGTTCTTCTAGTCACATCTGTGCTGAGGGGCTTTTCAATCCCTTCGGCCTCAACATCATTCCCAAGGCACCATCGCTCGAGTCAGAGATACCTGGTGGTGGTCACCTTCAGTTCAGGACCAGCTGTGCAACTTGTACAACGTCTTCTTCGGGGTCATTATCTGTGTCTGCGATGGCAAGGCCCCATTGGTGCGAGGACTCCTTGCAGCGCCTGAGTCGATGCATCGCCGCAGGAGTCGTGGCTGAGAGCTTGTGGGGATCTACAGGTCAGGGACCCAGTCATCCCCAGCACAGCTCTCGATGCCCGGAGATTTTCCGGCCCGGTCTGCAGTCGTGTTGTCTCTGTTTCTAAGGGCACCCTCTTCCGCAGGGCCTACTTCTTGGCCAGCCAGGCCCGGCCAGTGGCCGATGCTTTGAGTTGGCAGCTGCTTCGCTTTCTCAGACTGGGCGGTCTCTCTTCTATTTGTACGTGGGGACCATGACGCTGCTGGCCCGGGGCCCTCTATTGCCTCAGGGAGTCCTCACCTCCCAAATCCCCTCCCTTTCCGACTTTCCCTCCGAGTTGCTTCCGGGCGGCATGCTGGACTTCTTCAACCGGATCATCGGGCCCGGAGCCCACCAAGCGGGGCCACTTGTTTACGAGGTATATGATGCCGCCCTGGCCCAGGATCGCTTTGTGCGTCTTGGCCATGTTGATGCTGGCCAGGGATTGGTGCGCCCCTCTCTGTTGCAAGGCTGGGGGTCCCAGTTTGAGGAGAGACCTGCTCATCCTGCAACGTGTGACGTGAGTCATGGGCGACTCCGATCGAGCGCAGGACAGCTACAACCAGATGGGCTCCGGCTCCCAAGTGTAAACCGGTGCAGCTCCGAAACGAGCCTCGCGTCGATGGCAGAGGGACCATGCACAAAGCGGCACAGCCCGGATGCCAGAAAATGTGTGAGCACGAAGCTGTTTGTCTTTGCATGTCGAAGGGTGCTATGTTTTTTGGGACCGGCTGTCATGTTCCGTGATTGCTAAACATCTACACAGTACAGGAAACTATGCGCAGTATGTTTCTTAACACCGTACGCTTCCGGAACCGGTGGTTCCAGCGATGATGTTACTGGTGCTAACAGGAACACCAATGTTCCTAGCAATGGGGAATGTGCCTCGTTTGCGAATGGAAGCAGATCCTTTTCAGGAAAAGCTCGTGGAGTTCATTGACATGTTGAGGGCTTTCGGGATCGAAGCGAGAACAAAAACGCGGTGCCACAGAAGGACATGTGGACGCCTGCGAACCCACTCAATCGCAGGAGGAACAACAAAGGACTTTAGACCTTGATCGGCCCCCGGAGCGCGTCACCGTCCAGGAAATGAAGAAAAAGACCATGCGATTGCTGTTACTTGGTGGTGCCATAGAGAGCTTCGCCAGGTTGTGCCGGATGGTCTTGGCTCCAGGAAGACAAAACGGACAGACGAAGCTCTGCGCTTTATCTATATTGCCGGAATTGGGAATTGCACTGCGTCATATCCAAATGGAATTTTGACACATCCTTCCGGAGAGACCTGCCCCGGGACTCCAGTGTGGGCCATATGCCCCAGAATCGTTCCGCGACAGGCGCACCACGAAATGTGCGACTGCCATGATATCAAAGTCAAAGTGGTGACCCGCCTTATGAGACGAAGGTATAAGCCGTGGGGTCAGCTGAAAGAGATCAGTTCGGTGCAGCTGGCCCGGCCTTCGGCGGAGCACGTGTGCCTCCAGATGCCGTCCCTTGCAGCCGCCCGGCTAATTCGGCGAACCTCCACGCAGGTGGGGGTATCGGCATTTCGCTCAGGTTCGACGAGCAGTTTAGCTTCGTCGGTCTCGTCGCCTTCATCACCAGTGTCTATAGCACGAACTTGTCGACGATCTCGCGCACCTTTTCCAGACCGCAGACTAAGTGGATCGCCTTGATGCCACAGCGCATCACGTAACATCCAGCCGGCATGTGCAATGAAGGCTGGGGTTATCTCCAACATCGGTGTGGTTGCCAACGTGGTCACGGGACTTCTTCTTCCTCGACACGTGCCTTCATCGCTCCGTCCGTGCTGCCTTCCGGGACTAGTGGTGCGTCCTTCATCCATGCAGGCTGTATGAAACCACATCATAGCACGAGCTAATATCACTTGTGCGGTGGCAAAGCCTGCGAACCTGTGAAGGCATTGCTCTTCTCAAGCCTTTCTTCCACGACTCGCAGATCTCATTGAACAAGTCGTCGAACTTGTGCCTGTGCGTAAACACATCAACGGTGATCCGGTACGCACAGGAACGGTGTGCTGGGCAGGATTGAACACATGTGCAGAAAGAGGTGCCGCTATGAGCCACCGCAATGTAAGTCGGGGGGATATGTGTGCCGGGATTATATCCGCCCATTGTGTCTGCTGCCATCTCGGCCTCGCTGGCCGGTGCACCGCGGCACAGACGCTAGAAAAGCACAAACAGCATCTCGGTAGCATCGCGGACTCATGCCATTGCCACAGCTCTCTGACCAACTGTGGAGTGTTTCCCAGACTTGGTGTATTCGCGGGCCTACGCTTGATTTGTTCAAACCGCCCTTTGCTTCGGTTGCCTCAAGTCCGGGCTGACCATTCTGATTAGAACCAGGTGTATGCCTGTGGTATCCGCCAAACACTCCAACTCCAAACACAACTCCTCGGCGGGAGAGCCGCTCGCTCTTCCTATTCAGCTGTACTGCACGAGTGATTCCGGTCCGTTATGCATCAACCTCACAGCCGGCCCTACGCTGCAGAAACAGCCCTGTTTGATTCGTGATTTGAAAGCCTGTTTTCCACAGGAGGCCCAGGCCAGACCCGGGGCGGGTGCAGGAGGGGATGCAGTTGCATAGGTTATGTCCACACTCACTCCCAAGCTCACAACACCCTCACCGGTAGGGAATTCAGGAGCGAATGTGACTGCAGTTGTGGCGTGGCTACAGGGTCAAGGCCAGCAGGGGCTGTAGGCGGGATCTCAAAGGCAATATACTTGGATTTTTGGCATGCTTCGTGGGAGACCAGGACACGGATCCTGGTAGCGTCGCTATAGGCGTTTGCGACGAAACATTATGAGAAGTGAGCGCCGAATAATGTGCAGGACATAATGTGCTTTAGTGGAGGTGGTTGGATGACTACCGCAGTTGGGCACAAGGTGGTGCCCCTTTTGACTTAGGATTTGTTTCCCTCGCGCTGTGCCTGCATGTATCCTTCCGCCGCGGAGGCGGCGGGGCTCAACACGTTGCAGGACCTGGTGCGTTGGTACGGCGTCCCCGATGGGGTTTGGCAAGCCTTCGTGGACCAGGTAGGGGATCCCACGGAGGACTTCCGCTTGTTGGCGACACTCCCGTCGGGCGTGGTCGAGCTGGCCGTAGAGAACGCCCAGCTCCGAGATGGCTCCTTCCTGACGGTCATGCAGGCTACGCAGGTGGGGCAGGTGTACAAATTGGCGAGGAGGAAATCCTGGGTGGCAGCCAGCAAGCCGTGGGAGGATTGGGTCGAGGTGGGCTTGTGGGACGGCTCCACTACTTCGGGGACCCCCTTGTCTTCAAGGCCGACGACTGGAGAGGCCACCGCCAGCCAGGTGGGAGAAAGGAAGTTGAAGATGAACGGCGTGTTGGACCAGGGCAACGATTCGGAGTTCACCTTGGACGACACGAAGGAAACCCAGAAAGCCTACGAGAGATATGTGCAAACGATGGGGGCCCTCCGCCTCCGGAACAGGAGCCCACGGCGGAGCAACTTTCAGCTATGAGGCGGAGGGTGGAAGTCCTGCAGCTCTCCCCGTATGCCGACTTCGCGGTCTGGGTGCCGTTTGCGAAGAAGAACTTGAAGGCCCTCAAGCTCAAGACGTGGACTATGCAACAGGACGGGACCTTCGTAGCGAAGGACCTACCAGGGCCACCGGACTACGCGGCATGGCTAAACAGCTACCGGGTCTACAAGACAGCCCTCCTCATGCTGGGGGTTGTTTCCCTCAGCGTTCTCCAAGCCTACGAGGAGTTCATCGAGAAAGTCACCAGGCGCTACACTGGTGCTTGGCACCTGGTGGCTTGTGCCGACGACAGGGCTAGGTCAGAGCAGCTGGGGAGGCTGAGGATGAGAAACTCAGATGGCCATGGCCTCGGGAGCTCAGCCACCGGACGGCTGGAATGCGCAAGACCGTGGACGGCCCTCGTGGCAGCACTGCTAAGAGACGAGCCCTTCTGGCAGGAACAACTTCACCAGCCAGCTCTGACCTGGATGGCTCGGGGGATGCGGGGGCGTCCGCTTTCTCCAATGGAGTTCTACCTCGAGGACACGCCGCCGGCCCCAGCGCACGAGGGCATGAAGGACCTCATGAAGGGGAAGAGGGAAGCGAGGAAGAGAAAGCGCGCCGCCGACCGGGAGGAGCTCAAGAAGCTACGCGCTACCAGTACAAACACCGGAGTCCTTGCGGTGCCTGAGTTGATGCATCGCAGGAGTCCTTGGTGGAAGGATGTGGAAGGCAGGGGGACGGACGCAGCCAGCCTGCCGCGCGACCTGCGCTGCCAGAAAAGTGCAGCTGAGTCTCCTGAAAGCGCAAATGCCCTGGAAGCTGTGAACTGCAAGCTGTGAAGACTGAAAAATATAACTCCATGCGTATCATGAGCTCATGCATGCGGTCACCACACGAACATGTTTGGAAGCAACGCGGCTCTCGCTGGTCTGTCTCAAAAGCTTCAGAGAGCACAAAGATTAGGAACATACCTTATCATGAACTGCTGCTCTGGCTGCAGTCCAGGCTTGTTTCGCACATGTGTATTTTTTTCCAAAGCTTCGGGGTCCAAAGAACAGGTACACCGCCAACAAGTCCCAACTGAGGTCAGAAAAGTGTCCGGATGCTAACCATGTGCCCGTGCATGCCTGACTGACTGTCAAAGAGGCTCCGGCTCGCAAGTGTAATGCTCCGGTACGACGGCTGAAGTGTGGC